GGGGCTGTGTTTGTTAGTAATAGTGTTGATTATTAGAAGTGTTTCCCTACCTTTCTGGCAAATTTGAAACTCCTACAAAATTTAATGTATTTCTTTATTTCTGAGACCTGTGAATTAAATAACTCCCAACTGTTGTCAAACCATACTTAAATATGTGGGGGAAAATTCATTTTCTCCAAAGTATGTTGCTTTAACAATCATCTTGGTAGATGCTAAAGAGAAATTTTGAAATTTAAGTACATTAAAGATTAAAAAAAACAAGGTTACTGTACATAAACGTTTTAAATTTACTTTATGCCTGAGTTACTTGGACACATTTTTCTTTTGTTGTTCTAGTACTTGTGTGAACTGTCCTTGGTGGAAGGCGACCAATACCTTCGTTTTCTACCTAGTGTCATAGCAGCTGCTGCAGTTTGTTTGGCTAATCATACAGGTGGAATGATTCCTTGGGTAATCATAAATTTCATTTAGTATGTTTCAACTATTTTAAAAAGTAACTTGATCAGATGCATGACTTACCCATTTGCTGCACATAGTTCTGATTTACTAGTTTATAAGTAAAAAAGGATTGAAGTCTATAAAAATTACTCTGCCTTGGTAATATTTATATAGAATTATAATGAGTAATGTACATTAAATTCCATACTTCAGAGAAGAGTGATAAATTAAGGGGGGGGTGAGAAAACAAATGTCATGATTCCCATACCAGGGGAGACTGGAGATTTAAATATTTCCTTAGATTTAAAATTTGGTATATTAACTGTTTTGATGCCAAGTATATTTGTATACATTGACAATAAAGTAGCTTAATAAAATTGAATGTAACTAAGAGGTTGTGACAAAAACTTTACCCCTCCTGTAGTAAGAGGGTTAATTAATCCATTTTATGAAAGCTAAGTTATTTTCAATTGTAGTTTCTGTTTCTCCATTACTATGATAGCTTGACATACAAACATGTCAATTTACTGTAGAATTCAAGTAAAATGATCGCAAGGCTGATATTTACCCTCCAGTTTTGTTGAACAATAATATTTTCTTTTTAAAGAAATGGTGTTTTTAACTACTCTGGCAAATGTGCTTGATATAGCTATCACACTTTTCAACAGCATTATTAGTGGCAAGCTGCATTGTTCTCATCATAAAATTAACCTTGCTACACACATTTGATTTTGGGGAATTCAAGTACTCAAGAAAGATTAATATATAATGCTTATAAAGTAGAGTTATAACATAATCTGGTCAATACTACCTAATATTGCTGTATTTCAAAGAACCTTAAGTTGTGAAATCTACTCATTTTGTAAACTTCTGTATTTAAGTTATTTGAATTGCAAGTTAATGTGAAATTATGTAAAACTAGTCCTTGGTTTTAACAAGTGTTTTTTTTTAATTGACAGCTACTCCCAAAGCCAAATTCATTATTTGATTCTGTTACAGGATGAAAATCTTGCTACATCTTCTGGCTATGCTTATGAGGATATTCAAGAATGTGTGAAATGTTTATATGACAGTATTCACAAGGCTCCTAGTTCTCCTCAGCAGGCAATTAGAGAGAAGTACAAATCTTCAAAGTAAGCAGTAAATCTATTCATAAACTTAGTTTTCCTTCTGCTTGAATGAATATGTGATCTAGTTCCATAAAATGAAGAGCAAAAAAAAAGTATTTTTGTAGTATAGAATATATTGGGTATTACTATACATTTCTTGAAATTGTGAAAAATCTTGATCTATAAACTATTAAGGGTTATAACTGGATTCTAGAAAGTTTTCTTTGTCTTAAACTATGTTATTTTAAATGTATATTAACCCTTCATAGGGTAAGGTAAAGGATCTTGGATGGTATCTTGTTAGGCTTTTGTTTTTTATTAACATTAGTCATAAGTGCTGCCAAGTGTAAAATGGTCATTTCCAACAAATTGTGTGTCTGACAGCTTTTAAAATTAAATGTTTTTTGTAAACTTTTGATTTGTTATGCAATCAAACATTATAATACATTAAGTTCTTGTATACTTAAGGAAGGAAGGAAAGTTTATGGCAAATAGATTAAAACAAAATTCCTGGTTTTCAGTAATATATTTGCAATTTTGACATATCTACTCAGGTGGGAATTTGATTTCAACCATTTGAATAAAAATTTTAACAGGAAGTCAAACTAACAATTTAGTTTCAAACGAAAAAAGTGAGTACATGTAATTTGTAAATTTTCTGGGTATAACAAGTGGTAATATTTTGTATGTGTGAAAGTAAAATTAATTTCTATGCACGTGTTTGACATTCTGTGTACAATCTGTTTTCACTAAATATTTACTTGCTCAATTAACTTTACAAGATCTTTGGAAAGTGGGAGCAAGAGAAATGCGACCTAGTCATATTGAGTGGTAAATGGGACGATGGTGTCAGATCTGTTTAGTTACCCCAACATTGACTAGGAAAAGAAACAGTTTATAGTCTTCTCGCAATATATTTTACTGTCTTTAGATGAACAAATGAGTTGAAACACATGGAAAATAGTGAAGGATTTTGGACTAAAATCTTCTTTGTATTTATTACTTAAATTTATAGTTGAAGCTAGGTTTGTGTATATTGGTGAGTTATGGAAACTTCGTGCTTGATATTAGAGTAATAGCTATACATCTATACTCAACAATAAGTTTTGACATTTGATACACTTTTTCTATTTTTAAACAGATGCAGAATTTCTTTAGCTTTAGAAGGTTGTACATTTTAATTTATTTTGTTTTATGGTCATGCACATCTGTTCTCTATTATAAACTTGATTTTAAAAAATTGTTAACATGCTCTAAGTATGTTAACAACGAAGTTGAATATTTGTGCTTTTTATTGTTTACAGGAATCATAGTGTGTCCTTGATGCCACCACCACAGACAATACCATACAAGTTATAGATCTTAGAAGCAATCATCAACAAAATATATAAACTTCATATAATGAAGCAGTGTTTGGTCCTTCAGGAATTTAGTTTAAAAAATATATAAGTACACAGCAAAACAAAAACAGAAGCTACCATTACATAATTTGTTTCTTGACAATTCAGAAAGTACTGCAGCCAAAGTTTGTTTTTAAGGTGTATGTTTTTTGCTTTCTTACTTTTTATATCTAGACTCCTGGCATATCAGTTGCGAAATATTTTTGCCTAATAGTAAAAATTATGGGTACATTTTCTGTCACTAAATTATAAAACTAACATGTTTCTAATAAATTGTGTTGACAGAAAGGAATAAGGCAAGAAGAGAAAAATGATGGACAAGGTTTTAAATATTGGTTATTTGTCTTGCATAGTTTTAATAGCTAGATACTTAAATGTTTATGCATGAACAAGATTATGTATGTAGATATGTGATAAAATTGTTTTCTCTTGTGTCTAGGTTTATTTGTATGATTTTTGGAACGTTATGCTATGTAGTACTACAAATATTGAGCACCATTCCAAAAGTGACTTTTTTTTCATGTGCATATGCACTTGCTCACACAGAGAAACACAGACAGAGGAAGATATAGCATTTTCTGGCTATACATTTAGCTTTTTTGTAACGGGATAGTCCATGTTTATGTAAAACTAACATTATTTACAAACTCCATCAGTTTGTGCATATAATTAGAGTAACCTCACATGGGTTATAGCAATATATAAAATAAACTAATGGGTTTAATATTGTTTGGTAAATAATTTTTATACTTCATTTTTCATATTTAACTAGTTTCATTCAGAAGAAGAGTATAAGGGGTTTCTTGTAAGTTTAGGTAAATGGTTATAAGTATAGTTAAGCAGAAAACACTGAGTTTAAAAAAATAAACAAGCTAATAACTTTATATTTGTGTGAAAAAAAATTCTCTACATCATATCATTTTCATAACATTCAGTGTCACAATATTGATATTTTAAAATGAAACTTTGTACATTTTCAGAACTTATTTTTTATTAATAAACATTGCAAAATTTCTTTTGATGTTTTTTGATAGTTGTGTACAATATATATTATAAACTTTTTTGTATTTGCAAAAACATCAGTATAACTTAATGATATTCAAACCAACCATAAATAAAAAATTCACACATCAATTTATATTACTTGTAATATTTATATTACATAGTCCATTTAATAATTACACTTACTCAATCCTGCTCAGTCATGTAAATGAGGTCATTCTTATTCCAGTAATGTGGGCATCAATATTAAGTGTTTTGTGGATCAAAACTGTCTAGTAACTTTTATCACATTATTGTACTTTATTTTGCATAAGTTGGCTTAATTTGAATGGTAACTGATGTCTAGTAGAAAATAAGTACGTACAGTTTTAAAGATACAAAGATAATAAAATATAGGTCCTAAATTTATTATATAGACTTCTATATCTGTGGAAGCAAAATATCTGCATAAGAAAAGCTTCAGAATGTTACATGAGACTAGTCATGATAGAGTATCCCAGGTTACTGATGTCAATGATCATTCCCATTTATTCTATATTCAAGGAAAATAAACCCAAAATCATGCTAATCTGTACAAGTTGGCACCACCATTAGAAATGATAATATAAGCCTAGTAAATCAAATATGAAATGTAACCTAAGGTGTTTTTTTTTTTTAATTACAGTTAAGATTTCTGGTCCTTTATTTATATATATGTAAGAAGTAAACCTCAAGGTAATAGAAAAGTATATTGCACGAGAGATAAGAGACAGAACTATCTGATTTTATTTTGTACCTTTTATAGTTTACATCGTGAGCATGAAAAAAAATTCCACTTTGTAATTTTGTTTTTCAAAAGCTTCCTAATATAGCTTCAAAATTGTGTACTTAATGCATTATTTTAGATGTACAACTGACTCACCTGCAGAGATGTATTTTTTTTTTATTGTTTAGTGAATATTTGGTAGGACTGGTTTTGTGGGCCAAAGAACTTTTAAAATTGAAGAAAAATAATGAAAAAAATTTAAACAATTGCCAAAATACTGGAAACTAACTCGCAAAGAATATTTTATATCAAATACATAAATTATTTTTGTGAAGAAGCAAATTTAAATTTTATAAGATCTATTATTATGTAGATATAAGTTCCAAATGAGCAAGGTTATTGTGTCAACTAAATCAAACTTAAGTTAGAATTATTTTAACATTAATGGGAAAGAACCTGAGCAAAGTAACTTATCTTATGGCTGGAAAGTTGGAGAAAAATAAGACCAGATTTTAGAAGGTATAGTAACTACAGAAAAAATTAAAACATTTTAATATTTTTATGGGTAAATTTGTTTAATCCTGCAAACTGGAATAATAAAATGAGTTGGAAAATATGTATAAACTTCATTTTTTTTAATTAACTAAGCATTGTCTTAAATATCTTTAGGTTTAATAACATCCTCAGTGTAGCAAGCAAACTTACTTGATGTAGCACGAGATTGTGATGTCACTCATCTTAATAGGTGTCTTTATTAAGGTACTGTATATTCAACAGTTGAAATTTTTAGCCTTGAGTGGAAACTAATCTTGCATGTACATGGGCTTGAATAGCCAAGATCCGAGACCCTTAACAATAAGGTATAGCTGTGGCTACTTTTAAAGAACATATTATTTTATCAAATAGGTATTAATAAAGAAAAGTCTGACAATGCATGTAAAATATTTAAACGTCTATAATAGAAAACGTATTACAAAATTAGAGAAGTATTTAGTTCAAATAACATAAGGATGTGTAGAACTTTAACACCCATTCTATGTATTGTAAATTTATATATAGGTCATTTTTAGGTAAGAATTTAATAAATAATGACGCTGACATGTTACTTGCGACAACACAAATACATGCAAATGTATGTACTAATGTAAGTTTTGATTCAATACAATTGTATACCCAAACACCTGAATCTATATATGGCTTGAAATGCTGGAAAGTGCTGCTGCTGTTTTCTTTATAGGTGTTTAGGTTTAATAGACCTGGGAGGGTCAGGTTCATTTGACCTCTTCCTCCCTCTTGGTAGCTGGTTTCTGAAGAATATTAATTTAAGTACTACCTGATGGTCAGAGTATCCTGCACTTATGCTGACCCTTTTTAGGGTAATATTAATGTATGTTATTACTGTAATATTCATGTGAGTAAACACATCTTCATTTCATTTGTTGTAAAAATTTTGCACACGGTGAGCAGCTCCACGTGTATTTATCACATTTCGTTAGTTTAAATACTCCTCAAGAGCATTTTACAAAAATACCCTATTAATGCTGCTGTAGCAGCTTAAAATAATGTAGGTTTATTAGTCTAGCGCGTGGTGGCCTTATTAAAATTTATATTTTTAATTTACATATTAACTGATGAGAGATACTTAGGACTATCTTCATCATGTATGCACTAGCGATCTAATTCACATAGTAGGTCATTTTTGTGCCAATTTCACGCAAACTAATTCCGCTAGTTATGTAGGAGTCTATCGGAGAGTATTTCCATATTTGTGCATAAATTTAGATGTAGTGGATCTGGGTAGTTTGTACGCTATAGTTAGTAATGAATATTGTAGTTTAGTGGTGTGTTTTGGTGCTATGTTAATCCAGGCCGGGCATGCATATTAAATTACTGGACGTATGTATGTTTTGTAGATTTGGATTATGTTGTCGGCTGAAGTTCCGATTTTGCCCGTTAGACTCGTAGTATAATTCATGCGTTGCCAAACTTTGGTTAGGATATTATATACGTGTTTAACCCACGTTAATTTAGAGTCGTGGGTTAATCCTAGAAATTTGGCTGATGCTGTAGTCTGGAGAAGTGTGAAATTCATATATAGCTAGGGTGTTTTTTTTCTATGTTTTGTAAAGACACACCAAATAAGAAGATGAACACTATCTAAATCATGTTGAGAAAAGAAAGCAGTCATTTTTAACAAATTTACTACTAGCTACTTTCATCTTAAATTTATATAATGTCTGTGACTGCAGAAGTATGAAGTTCTAGACAAAATGGGTTTCCTGCAGTAGAGTTACCACATAATAGTGTGTAAGAAAGGATGGAAGGAAAATAAATTAGGTAATTAAAAGCTATTACATTTAATTGTATAATATTACACGAATACTTAGTTAATGCTTTTCTCATGTGGATGGAATATTATTAAAATTGGCCCATGATCCTTGAAAATTAAATTTTAGTCATTTAAAAGTCCTTGAATTTTATTAAAATAGTCTATATGAAGTCTGTCAAGCTTATCAGCAAAGTCAAAAATCCTGTCGCGGACGAATGAAACATGTCTTCCATTTGGATATCTTACTACTATAAAGGTTTGGTTT